TATGCAGAACAAGAAGCAACTGTTAGAACCACACATAGAACAATGGACTGGTTTCAGATTGGGAAAGAAGTACATCAAGGCTGTATATTGTCACCCTGCTATTTAACTTATATGCAGAGTACATCATGTGAAGTGCTGGGCTGGATGACTCACAAGCTGGGATCAAGGTTGTAGGGAGAAATATCAACAACCTCAGATGATATCACTTTAATGGCAGAAAGTGAAGAGGAACAAAAGAGCTTCTTGATAAGGGTGAAAAAGGAGAGTGAAAAAGCTGGCTTAAAATTCAATATTCAAAAAACAAAGATCATGGCATCTGGTCCCATCGTTTTGTTAACAAAAATAATATAGTCACAACCTGAAAGTAGAGAGTTATTTTATTTGGTGGGAATATTTAGAACTCCAAGCCCGGGAGACAACATCTCAGTAGCTCTGAGAAAACTGCTCCAAGGAGACAATGGAAAAGTCGAGCTACATACAAGTTTGAAACAAAGGGAGCAGGCAGTCTGAACATCAAAGATTAGGTATCAAGTTAAGAAATTTAGCATTTTATATATGGGAAGATACAAGCCTCTGGGTTCACTGAATTCATTCCTTTCATATTCTCATCAGCTATCTGGGGCCAATCCTGTTCCTTGCATTCCACCAGCTCCTCAGCAATCACTGTGGGGGTGTGGCAGCATCCTCTGGCTCTAAGTTTTGGAAACCTTGGTTCATATTTGGAGGCCAGAAGTCACTGAAGGCTGTAACATTTCTTGTTGATTAATATGGCAGGAGATATTTTCATTTCAACAACTTCATAGCAAACAGATGGAGAAAAAGTGGAAACAGTGTCAGATTTCATTTTCTTGGGCTCCAAAATCACTGCAGATGGTGACTGCAGGCATGAAATTAAAAGACTCTTGCTTCTTGGAAGAAAAGCTATGACAAACCTAGACAATGTATTAAGAAGCAGGGACATCACTTTGCCAGCAAAGGTCTGTATAGTCAAAGACTACTGGTTTTTACAGTAGTCATGTATGGATATGAGCGAAAGTGAAAGTCACTCAGTCATGTCTATCTCTTTGAGACCCCATGGATATAGAGTCCATGGAATTCTCCATGCCAGAATACTGGAGTAGAGTGTTCCCTTCTCCAAGGGATCTTCCTAACCCAGGGATCAAACCCAGGTCCTGAATCACAGGCAGATTCTTTACCAGTTGAGCCACTGAGGAAGACCAAGAATACTGGGTTGGGTAGCCTATCCCTTCTCCAGTAGATCTTCCTGACCCAGGAATCAAACTGGGGTCTCCTGCATTTCAGGCAGAGTCTTTACCAGCTGAGTTCCAGTTGGACCATAAAGAAGGTTGAGTGTCAAAGAATTGATGCTTTCAAACTGGTGCTGGAGAAGACTCTTGAGAGTCCCTTGGACAGCTAACAGATCAAACCAGTTAATCCTAAAGGAAATCAACCATGAATATTCATTGGAAGGACTGATGCCAAAGCTGAAACTCCAATACTTGGCCACCTGATGTGAAAAACCAACTCATTGGAAAAGACCCTGATGCTAGGAAAGACTGAGGGCAAGAGGAGGAGGGTTGACAGAGGATGAGATGGTTGGATGGCATCAATGGACATGAGTTTGAATAAACTCAGGGAGATAGTGAAGGACTGGTAAGCCTGGTGTGCAGCAGTTCATGGGGTCACAAAGAGTCAGACTTAGGGACTGACACTGCTTCCACTGTTTCCCCATCTATTTCCCATGAACTGATGGGACCAGACACCATGATCTTAGTTTTCTGAGTGTTGATCATTTTGCCTTTTCATACCATTCATGGGGTTCTCAAGGCAAGAATTCTGAAGTGGTTTGCCATTCCCTTCTCCAGTGGACCGCTTTCTGCCAGACCTCTTCACCATGACCCAACCATCTTGGGAGGCCCCATATGGCATGGCTTAGTTTCTTGAGGTAGACAAGACTGTGGTCCCTGTGATCAGATCGGCTAGTTTTCTGTGATTATGGTTGCAGTGTGTCTGCCCTCTGATGCCCTCTCACAACACCTACTGTCTTACTTGGGTTTCTCTTAACTTGGATACCTTTGTACTTAGATCTAAGTAATTAGGCTTTGGAATTAGGACATCAGATGTATAATATTCCTTATTCGTCTAGTATTTTATTATGAAATACATGACATCTTCTAAATCTAAAAGGCTAGAGGGACTTCCCTGGTGGTCCAGTGGTTAAGACTCTACACTTCCACTGCAGGAGGCAGAGATTCTACCCCTGGTTAGGGAACTAAGATCCTGCAGGCTGCACAGTGGCCACACACACACACACACACAGAGTCTAGATGCCCTTTAAAAACTCTGGAAATCCCCTTAAATATTCCAAGCCTCTCTGGGACATATTTTTCAGAAGGCACTCTTCTAGTTCCTGACCCACCGCACTGCAGATCTGGGGTATGAAAGCCCAGCGCCAAAAATGCAGCCCTCCTCTAACTTCCAAATGCCCATCTGCTATGTCTCCATGTCTTCTGTTCTAGTCACACTTGTTGTGAAAATGACCAATGAACATGCCTAGTGCTTTTCATTGCTCTGTATTTTGGCTCACCCTCATGTGAAATCCTTTTCGTCCCTTTCAACCTTGAAGACTAAGCTCAAAGTTAAACCAATCCTCACAATCCAGTGTATAAAATCAGTTTGTCCTTTAGGCTCCCATAACATGTGACTTGTACCTATTTTATACCACCTTATGTGGACAGGTAATAGCTTTGCAAATGTGTATTTCTACTGGCAGGAAGTGAAGAGGAACTAAAGAGCCCCTTGATCAGGGTGAAAGAGGAGAATGAAGAAGCTGGCTTCAAACTCAACATTAAAAAAACTAAGATCATGGCATCCAGTCCCCGCACTTCATGGCAAATAGAAGGGGGAAAGGTGGAAGTAGTGACAGATTTTACTTTCTTGGGCTCCAAAATCACTGCAGACAGTGACTGCAGTCAGGAAATTAAAAGACACTTGTTCACTGGAAGGAAAGCTATGAAAAACCCAGACACTGTATTAAAAAGCAGAGACATCACTTTGCCAACAAAAGTTCATCTAGTCAAAGCTGTGGTTTTCCCAGCAGTCATGTAAGGATGTGAGAGTTGGATCATAAGGAAGACTGAGCACCAAAGAATTGATGCTTTCGAATTGTGTTGCTGAAGACTCTTGAGAGTCCCTTGGACAGCAAGATTAAACCAGTCAATCCCAAAGGAAATCGATCCTGAATATTCATTGGAAGGACTGATACTGAAGCTGCAGCTCCAATATTTTGGCCACCTGATGTGAAAAGCCGATTCAGTAGAAAAGACCCTGATGCTGGGAAAGATGGAAGGCAAAAGAAGGGGGTGGCAGAGAATGAGTTGGTTGGATGGCATCACTGACTCAATGGACATGAGTTTGAGCAAACTCCAGGAGACAGTGAAGGACAGGGAAGTCTGGTGTGCTGCAGTCCATGGGGTTGCAGAGTCAGACACCACTTGGAGACTGAACAACAAAATTTCTGTAGGGCACTGTAAGGTCCTTGAGAGGAAAAGACCATTTTTATATTCCATTTTTATATTCTGAACTTAACATTCTCTTAGCTAACAGTGTTAAACAATATTCAATAACTTGATGAAAAGAAGAATGGATGAAAGGAAGAGTAGTTATAGTGCCCCTCCAGGATGCTTTTTGTGTTGGGTTCAGCTAAGTAGGTCAGTTACCAAACAAAGGATTATTTATAAGAGTTCTGGAAAGATTTTCTGCCAAAATTTCTCTTCCACATTATACTGTTACTTATTGAAATGTTACCACTATTGGAGGCTCACCCAGCTCTGCCCTCCATCAAATGGCAAACAGGCCTGAGAGGGTGGGAGTAGTATGTTTTTCAAAAATGCCAGCCAGCTGAATGCAAGCTGATAAGCACAAAGAGTTCACTGAGTCTTGCCTGGGCTCATGTCACAGGGAGGTTCTGATCAAGCAGAGTGAAAAGAAAGGCTAATGCCCAGGAAGAAAGCAATAGGAGGAAAGAGGGTACTCCAAGAGAAGAGGTCGGGGTATGAGTCAGCCTCGCAAGGGCTGGCAGCACTCTCATCAGCAGTGGCATGGCAGGCAGCAGAAAAGGGTGTTTGCCATTGCACTGTGAGAATGGAGTCAAGGAGTGTGAGGCTGCCGTGAATCATGGCAGATGTTTGGGTGAGTGAACCGAAGGAAATCAATAGGAAATACAGCTAGGCTTAACAAGGAAGTGGCAACTATGGAACACAAGCTGAGATCAGTAAACTAATTCAGATATTCACGAGCAGACAGAAACTACCAGAAAGCAAAGGGACAGAGGAAGAGTGATCCGAGGGAAGCAGCCACCAGGTGCCAGAAGTTAGCCTTTCCTTATCTTCTAGCACTTTCTCTCACTTTCACCTCTTCGCCTTTGCTTCATCCTACCCTGAATTCACATACCACCTCATCTCAGTTCTTTGCTGTCTGAGAAGCACAGAGTCAAACAAAACGTGGTCTCATGATTGGTTTCATGTCACTCTTGGTCTATATCCCAACCTTATCCCAAATTACATAAAAATGAAGAAATTATTTCATCTTTCTCTTTATTCTCAAAATACAATAGTATAAAAGTCTAAAAGGAATAGGCTGTTCCATGTGTGGTCTCCAGTGCTCTGAGGAGGCAGAACTGAGCCCCGAGGAATGTGAGAGGACCATCTTAAGCCAGTAATAGTTACTGCGCTGAGTTCGAGGGCCCCAAACCAAATCCTTGGGTATGTGCTAGGGCTTGGGCTCGAGTTCTTGAAGAGGAATAGGGGTGGAAATCATTTTGAGATGACAAACTGACCAGAAGAGGGCACAGCACCAGTAAGGTCTGGTGGGAGAAGCAGGGAAGGTGACCCTCCTTTCTGCCACCACCTAAGGCAGAGGCATGTGACTCCAGCAAGGGCTGAAGTAGGCAGCAGCTCCTTGGACCCCATAACGGAGAGGCCAACCCACTCCGGGGCTGGTTAATTGGTGTGCTTGGACAGTGGAATGCTAGCCATAAGAATGGAGACAAACTGTTCCAATTTCTGCGCAGCTTGCTTCCCAGCCTCTAGTACTTCTTCGTGATTGGCCTTCCCCTGGCTTTCATAATCCAAGATGGCCTTGTTTGTGATGAGTGAGAAGCCAAAGACTCGAAGTCCACAGTGTCTTGCGACTATAACTTCTGGTACTGTGCTCATGCCTGATGTAGACAAAGAGGGAAACCAACAGTCAGAATCCCCAAATGGCCCCTAGCCTTACCTCCATTCATCACCTCGTTGACAGTTCGACACTAAGAAAACATCCAAAGAAGCAGCTAAATTAGTGTCAAGCTTAGGTTGTTCTGTATTACCTAAAAGAGTTGGGCTTCAGGGGGCTTTACACATTTCTTATAAATATCACCATTGCAATACTTTATTTCTATCTCTGCTTGTGATCATTTTAAAGTCAGTTCTAATATCGCAATTTTATCTTCCAGCCAGAGGTATAGAAGGTGCCTATGATATTTGTTAAAATAATCAAAAACAATTATCACATAATAGATAGTTATCACATTAGCATTACACTGGTTAAAGTCCTTGGTGCTGGGTGGTGGGTTGAGGCTACAGTGCAAACCTCCCAATCAACCTTTAAAGTCAGTTAATTCAATCTTCCCTTAAAGCAGACCCCTCCTTCAGTGTATCATCTAAATCTACAATCTTTTACTCTTTTCCAACTTATTTTACCAGGATCCTCTCTTCAAGCCTCCAAGTCAAGGGAGTTCCCTGGCAATCCAGTGGTTAAGACTCTGCACTTCCAATGCAGGGACTGCAGACTCAGTCCCTGATTGGGGAACTAAGATCCCACATGCCATGCAGAGCAGCCAAAAACAAAAAAAGACAAAACAAAAAAGTACCCCCAAATTACAAAGCCACCAGCCAAGTTCCCCTCCTCACCAACAGCATCCGCCCCTAGCTTCTGCAGCAGGCGACACTCGGCCACAGTCTCAAAGCTGGGGCCCGCCACCATCACGTAGGTGCCTTCCTGTAACTCTCTCTGCTCCCCCATTTGTTTCCAGGTACTCTGAGCTTTCCGCCTCATATCCCGGTCGTAGGCGTCAGACATGGCAGGGAAACGAACTCCAAACCTAGAGCACAGGTTGGATTATCTCAGATTAATGGAATACAGCGAGCTCTCCCAAGCTGACCCATGTAAACAGAAAGAAGCAAGAGAGATACCGTTCATCATTGGGCCCTCTGAGAGGGTTCTCACCGCTGAGACCAGGGAGGTTGATGTGATCACGGATCAGCATGATATCGCCAACCTCAAATTTGGGGTTGAGCCCTCCAGCTGCATTGGTGACCACCAGGGTCTCCACACCCAGAAGCCGGAAAACTCTCACTGGGAATGTCACCTTAGAAGCGAAAGATAAAAGATCAGAGAGTTTTCTTTAAAATTTGACCAATACACCCATGCAGATAAACATGACATACATTATGAAAGAGAAAAGAGGGGACCAAAAATCTACCTTGCCTAAGCAGCTAGGTAGTAAAATAGGATAGAGAGCTCTATCTCCCTTCTTCCAGACCCAATCAGGCTTATACCCCTGTTTTACCTTCCAGAGCGGGTAGCCTTCATACATGTGGAACCTGCCCTGCATCATCACACAGGCTCTGCCATTCAAGATCCCAAACACCAGTCGACCAGCATGACCTGGCACTGTATACAGAAAAGAGAAGGAAATGCATGGAATGATGCTTTCATACAACACATATCCACTGAGCACCTACACTGGCCCAACTGTGTTCAACATATGATGGTAAAACTAACCAATAAAAAACATCATCCTCTCCACTCAGAAAGTTTAAGTCTGGTGGGGGTGTGTTCAGTTGCCTCAGTCATGTCCAGCTCTTTGTGACCCCATGGACTGTAGCCCACCAGGCTCCTCTGTCCATGGGGCTCTCTAGGCAAGAATAATACTGGAGTAGGTTGTCATTCCCTTCTCCAGGGGATCTTCCCAACTTAGGGACTGAACCAGGGTCTCCTGTACTATAGGTGAATTCTTTACTACTGAACCACTGGGGAAGCCGCTGGTTGGGGAGACAGAAATTAATCATAAACTTAGATACAAGTACACTCTGTGATTAGAGCGATGGGGGTAAAGATGTTCAATGTGAATATACACCAGTTACTTTTTAAAGAAACTTTAAAAGAATGAGAAAGTCATAATGCAAGAGAATAAAAGAAATAAGTGGGTAATATAATAGTGGGTAAAAATAGAGTAAGTGGGTAATAATGAATGCAGTGAGTGTTGTAATCATAGACCTCTTTCCAAAATTTTCAAAACTCTCAAAATGCATATTCTTTTTTTTCAAAATGCATATTCTTATGACCATAACTAAGCTATATGATTCCTCAGTCTTGAAAAGAAACTCATGGTATAGTCTAGCTTCCTAAAAAGGCTATGAACAAGGAAAGGGGCCAACATTAGACCCATACAAGTCTTTTTTGTGACTCCCAAAATAGTCCTGTGGGAATACATGCCCTGTATGCCCACGTACGGGCGTGGAACAGCAAAGATAACTCCTCACACAGACATAGTAACAATTATTACTATTTCTCTCATCTAACATTTCTCCTTTAAGGGACATGGCCAACCTATCCCTTAGGGAATGAATGGTCTGGGAGAAGAACCAAAACAAAGAGGGAGAGTTCAGGGTGTACTCAGAGACTGAGGAGCATATAAAAAAGTTACCTGTAATAGAACAGAGGTGATACAGTTAGGAAAGCCCAAATAGAGTATAAAAAATAAGTTGGAAAAAAAATATAAGTTGACAAAGTTTAAAAAGCTTAATCCACTTTTCACTGAGTGCCGTGCCCTTGTCATTGGGGATAGAGTGGCAGATGGAGCCAAAGTCATTTCCATCTCCCTTAGAAAACTTTGCACTCCCTTCTCTCTATTATTTCCTTCTCCAACCCCATTGCCACTCCCCGTTCTGGTCTCCTAGTCTTGTTCCAAAGGGAATGAAAAATATCTGTAAAGTCTTAACTCTCCAGGGAAAAGAGGAAGGAAAGTACAATCTGAAAAATTAATAATAAACCAACAGAAGTTGGTCCTGAGAAATTAATAAATAAACCAAACAAACTACCCTTGTCCTTGGCCAAGTAAACTTGGCCGTTTCTCACCTGACCCTCTTCTAAGCCTCACCCTTGGCATGAGGAACCTCCTCAATCAGGGATGGAACCCAGCCCCTGCAGTGAAGTGTGGAGTGTTAGCCACTGGACCTCCAGGGAAGTCTGGCCTTGGAGCTTCTGGCTGCTACTGAGATGCTAGATATACTCTCCTCAAATCCCTCAGAGCTCCACTATGCAGAGGGGGCCCTTCCACATCCCTGACAAAGGTCAGTGTGAACCAAGTCTTGTGTATTCATATATTACCTGGGTATTTGTCTGCAAGAACATGGCAGTCGGTGTGTTCATTTGTTGGCATGTACCAGTGCGTGCCTTATGCTAGGCTTATTCTACAGCCTTATTCTAGGCTGTAGCTAGAGCTGGGGAGATTGAGATCAGCAGGAACACACAGGACAGGGTGAGGGTGGGGGTGTGGGGTGGGGGTGGGGGGCTGACTTTGTCCCGGAGGTTACAGGCACAACTTTTTCCACTTAGGATACAGACTGAAAGAAATGAGCGAGGTGTATGAGGATGTGGTGACCATGGTGTGTGGGGGGAAAGGATGTCTAAGGGAAGTGTTGTAAAGCTTTAAGGAGCTGAGTCATTAAGGCAAAGAAATACGTCATCATACAGTAACAGTGACACACACACGCCCTGTCTGTTAAAATGTTGCTACTGGAGGAATTTCTTTCTAAAGTCATTCTGATTCTTCATGGGTTTTTTCCCTCTCTCACAACAGTTGTTGCTAGTCAAATGCTATAGAGGAAACCCAGGACCATGGGTAGAAGCCCTCCCATCACAATTTCATCAGTACCCCTCAGTCCCATCCCTCCTTCCCTTTGCCAGTACCTGTACTTTCGGGAAAGTTTGGTATTTCACTGTAGTCAAAGGTCTGGGCTTGAGTTAATCTTTTAATCAGACCTCCTAACCCAGAACCACAGATCACTGCCACTTGAGGTCGGTGTTCGGTGCGAGACAAGAGCCATTTTGCAGTGTCTTGATAATCTTCATATGTAAATCTAGGGGGAAAAAATGGAAAACCAAGGTGAGATTCACTCCCAATCCAAGGGTATCATAAAATAATAACCTTCAGTGAGGAAAGGCTGGCAGGGGTACCAAGGTGACAGGGGATACAGAAGTTGGCCAAGGAGCTAGACCAAGCTATTGCACAAAGAAGCAAATCCAGACCACAATTCTGGTTGTCAAGAGCTGGGGGACAGCTGACTGTATAAGTTTCTCAGCAGCACCTTGTGAACAGTACAGACTCTGGAGCCCACCTCTACAGACAGATCATTCTGGGGAGAGGCCCCAGAATCTCTGTTTCTTACAAAAGTGCCTCAGGTAATTATCATCCGAAAACCAGGTTTCATAATTCTGGCCTAGAGGGAAGCAGAACTCTATCTGGATTATAGTCCCAATTTTATCTTTTTAAGCAAGTAACTTGTGCTTCAAATTCTTTCCTCTAGGGTAAATAAAGCAAGGAAATGTGATTGGCCTCACCTATTGTATTAGGCTCTGTTTGAAAATGAATTAAAAACTTGCCTACAAGCTCCAAAGACCTGAGTCCATAAAATCATGGTACAGGTCCACAGAACTTGAACCCCCCCCCCCCTTTTAAACAACTCTTCCCCCTGCCTGTATTTTTCCTCCCTGCCTTCTCCCATCTTTCCTTTTCTTCATCAAGATCCAAGGTCCTTTGCCTTTCAGAGACCGAAATAGACATAACCAGACATCCCCAAGAATCAACTGGGAATTTTTCTCACAATTCTAGTCCAGTTCTCTCATACCTATCTGGAAAAAACAAGGAGAAGGGATGTGGGGAGACTGAGGTGTGACAGAGCTGAACACAACTAACCAACCAAACCTCCAGAGGAAACCTTTTTTTTTTTTTTTTTCTCAAAAGTACTGCCTTGGAAACCAGATGACTTACACTGGGCTACCCTCAGGCAAGTACCTGGACAAAGGACAGGGTGGCGGCAATAGAAATGGGGTCAAAGGATGATGGAGATGAGAGAAGCAGTGAGATGGTAAAAATTAAATATCATCCCAAAAGGTGCAAAGTAAAGTAAATAACAGTGAAGCCCTGGACCATCAAGCTCATCGGAGCCACAGCTTACAGGACTTCCTCCTTAGCCTCAATATCCCAAGAATGCCCCGAATCCCTGGGCACCCTAAAGCCACTGTGATCCCTAATGCTGGGTAGGGATTTCAAGGACCAAAGCAGAAATAAAGGTTTTTAAAAGAAAGGGCGCGAGGGAGTGCGAGGTGGGGGGTGGGGGGGTAAGGGTGGGGGTGGCAGGGAATGGGAAGGATCTGTTGCTGTTTCATGAGTAAGAATTTCCTTTTCTTGGAGAAGCCATCCGCAACTTAATTGGATCTCCAACTTGGAGGGAAGAGGTGTTCCCGAGGGACGAGGAGTACACTCTCTCCTCTGAAGGACGAACTCTAGATACCGGCACCAAAAGTACCTCGCGGCTTTCCCTACACTCTCGAATCGGAATCTGTGACGAGCACATGGGTTGAGAAGACCTCTTCCCCGAAGTGTGGGTGGAGGAGCACTCTCTCTCTATACTCACATCTCAGTAAGTGCGTGAGCCAGCGCACGCACACACACATCGGCTCTTTTGGGGAGCAGTCCACGGTTCACTAACCTGTTCCCTTCCTGTTCTGGTGGCGCCACCCTGCTCGATTCCCGCGCGCGCCCCTGCCAGGGCCGGCCTCACCACCGCTCGGCTGCCTTGCCCCTGATACCGGGCTCCCAGCCAGGCCTCTGCATCTCTGGGGCACTCGTTCCCTCTCTTGGCCCTCTCGAGACCCAGGGCGCTGTGTTTTCAGGGCTCGAAGATAGGCATTTCCTCTCCCCAGGGGCTTCCTGGGTTCCCTGGGCCTGGTCCCCGCCTCACCCATTCTCCATGGTCCCGCAGACGCCCTCTCGATGAGTTTGCCCTTCTCCGTTCATATCTGCTCCGCGGAGCTGAGCTGGCTTCGGTCACCGAGTGTTACCCACACAGTTAGCGCACTGTTTGCACCGCGCTGGCTCATTATATCCCCAGCGCCGGAGTCCCCAGCCAATGGCAAGCGAGTACGCAGCCGGCTTCGTCTCCATGGTGACCCGCCCAACTCAATAGCTCCGAGCAAGGCTGTAAATCTAATCTGAGTTCTTTCCAGCCACAGTATCTTTCTCTAGCAGTACTTTACCTTAGGCGGAAGGGGGAGGGGAGACGGGGCGGAGGGAGGTGGGAGCATCCCGGTTGTGCCTCTGCACCCAGTCCTTACAGCAAGTCGGGAGTTGACAGCACGGAAGCCTGTGCGGGAAGAGGGCTGGAAGTCCGGGAGCAGAGCCTCTAACCATCTGTCCGCAACCCCATTCCTGACGGTGTCTACAGCAAATCATGAGAGATTTGAAAAGAGGAAAATTTAAACCTTAGATCCTGCAAACTCAGAATAAAATTAAGTAGCCTCTGTCTGAATTCCTTCCTGAACAAAGGAAAAAGGCTTGATTCTACTTCCCTGGTGACTCAGATGGTAAAGAATCCGCCTGCACTGCGAGAGAGCTGGGTGCACTCCCTGGGTGGGAAGAGTCCCTGGAGAAGGGAACAGCAACTCACTCCAGTATTCTGGTCTGGAGAATTCCGTGGACTCTATAGTCCATGCACTGGAGAAGGGAATGGCAAACCACTTCAGTATTCTTGGCTTGAGAACCCCGTGAACATGTGACACTGAAAGATGAACTCCCCAGCTAGGTAGGTGCCCAATATACAGGGGACCTACCCTATATATAGTCTTTGCCACCCCATGGACTGTAGCCCACCAGGTTCCTCCGTCCATGGGACTCTCCAGGCAAGAATACTGGAGTGGGTTGCCATTTCCTTCTCCAGGGAATCTTCCCGACCCAGGGATCAAACCCGGGTCTCCCGCATTGCAGCAGGCACTTTAACCTCTGAGCCACCAGGAAAGCCCATATATAGTCCATGAGGTCACAAAGAGTAGAACAAGACAGCAAATTTCACTAGCGATTAGACTGATGTGGAGGTTATAGGATTTGGAAAAAACAGATAGCCCTACCATAGAGACTATAGGCTGCCTCAGGCCAAATTACAAGGAGGGAGCACAGCCCCACCCATCAGCAGAAAATTGGATTCAAAATTTATTGAACAAGGCCCTGCCCTTCAGAGCAAGACTCAGTTTTCCCCACAGCCAGTCCCTCCCATCAGGAAGCTTGCACAAGCCTTTCATCCTCATCCCTCAGAAGGCAGACAGAATGAAAACCACAGTCACAGAAAACTAACCAAAATGATCACATGGATCACAGCCTTCTGTAACTCATTGAAACTATAAGCCAGGCAGTGTAGGACCACCCAAGACAGATGAGTCATGGTGGAACGTTCTGACAAAATGTGGTCCATTGGAGAAGGCAATGGCAAACCACTTCAGCATTCTTGCCTTGAGAACCCCATGAATAGTATGAAAAGACAAAAAGATAAGACACTGAAAGATGAAGCCCCCCAGATTGGTAGATGTACAATACGCTGCTGGAGAAGAGAGGAGAAATAGCTCCAGATAGAATGAAAAGGATGAGCCAAAGCAGAAATGATGCCCAGTTGTGGATGTGTCTGGTGGTGAAAATAAAATTCAATGCTGTCAAGAACAACATTGCATAGGAACCTGGACTGTTAGGTCCATGAATCAAGGTAAATTGGAAGTGGTCAAATAGGAGATGGCAAGAATGAACATTAATCTTTTAGGAATCAGTGAACTAAAATGAATGAGAATGGATGAATTTAACTCAGAAGACTGATATATCCACTACTGTGGGCAAGACTCTCTTAGAAGAAATGAAGCAGTCCTCATAGTCAAAAAAAAAGAGTTTGAAATGCAATATTTGGGTGCAATCTCAAACATGACCAGAATGGTCTCAGTTCGTTTCCAAGGCAAACCATTCAATATCACAGTAATCCAAGTCTATGCCCTAAACACTAATGTTGAAGAAGCTGATGTTGACTAGTTCTATGAAGACCTACAAGACCTTTTAGAACTAACACCAAAAAAAGATGTCCTTTTCATCATAGGGGATTAGAATGCAGAAGTAGGAAGTCAAAAGATACCTGGAGTAATGGGCAAGTTTGGCCTTGGAGCACAAAATGAAGCAGGGCAAAGGCTAAAGGAGTTTTGACAAGAGAACACCCTGGCCATAGCAAACACTGTCTTCCAACAACACAAGGAAATGACTCTACACGTGGACATCACCAGATGGTCAATATCAAAATCTGATTTTATTTGCAGCTGAAGTTGGAGAAGCTCTAAACAGCGAGCAAAAATAAGACCTGGAGCTGTCTGTGGCTCAGATCATCAGCTCCCTGTTGGAAAATCCAGGCTTAAATCGAAGACAGTAGGGAAAACCATTAGGCCATTCAGGTCTCACCTAAATCAAATCCCTTACGATTATACAGTGGAAGTGACAAACAGATTCAAGGGATTAGATCTGATAGAAAGAGTACCTGAAGAACTATGGACAGAGGGTAACATTGTACAGGAGGCAGTGATCAAAACCATACCCAAAAAAGAAATACAACAAGGCAAAATGGTTGTCTGAGGAGGCCTTACAAATAGCTGAGAAGAGAAGAGAAGTGAAAGGCAAAGGAGAAAAGGAAAGATATACTTATCTGAATTCAGAGTTCCAAAGAATAGCAAGGAGAGATAAGAAAGTGAATGATGCAAAGAAACAGAGGAAAACAATAGAATAGGAAAGACTAGATACCAGGGGAACATTTCATGCAAAGATGGTCACAATAAACGACAGAAATGGTATGGACCTAAAAGAAGCAGAAGATAAGAAGAGATGGTAAGAATACACAGAAAAACTATACAAAAAGATCTTAATGACCCAGATAACCATGATGGTGTGGTCACTCACCTAGAGCCAGATATGGTGGACTCCGAAGTCAAGTGGGCCTCAGGAAGCATCACTATTAACAAAGTTAGTAGAGGTGATGGAATTCTAGCTGAGTTATTTCAAATCCTATAAGATGATGCTGTGAAAGTGCTATACTCAATATGCCAGCAAATTTGGAAAACTCGGCAGTGGCCACAGGACTGAAAAAGGTGTTTTCATTTTAATCCCAAAGAAGGGTAATGCCAAAGAATGTTTAAACTACCCCATAATTGCACTCATTTCACATGTTAGCAAAATCTCAAAATCCTTCAAGCCAGACTTCAACAATATGTGAACTGAGAACTTCCAGATGTACAAACTGGATTTAGTAAAGGCAAAGGAACCAGAGATCAAATTGCCAACATCCATTGGCTTGTAGAAAAAGCAAGAGAATTCCAGAAAAACATCTACTTCTGCCTCATTGACTATGCTAAAGCCTTTGACTGTGTGGATCACAGCAAACTGAGGAATATTCTTGAAGAGATGAGAATGCCAGACCACCTTACCAGAAACCTGTATGTGGATGAAGAAGCAACAGTTAGAACCAGACATGAAACAACAGACTGGTTCAAACTTGGGAAAGGTGTATGTCAAGGTTGTATATTTCCACCCTGCTTATTTAATTTCTATGCAGAGTACATCATATGAAATACTGGGCTGGATGAAATGCAAGGTGGAATCAAGATTGCCTGAAGAAATATCAATAACTTCAGATATGCAGATGTCCCATCACTTTCCCATCATTAGATGGGGAAACAATGGAAACAGTGGCAGACTATTTTCTTGGGCTCCAAAATCCCTGCAGCCAGTGAGTGCAACCATGAAATTAAAAGTTGCTTGCTCTTTGGAAGAAAAACTATGACAAACCTAGACAGCATATTAAAAAGCAGAGACATCATTTTGCTGCCAAAAGGTCTGTCTAGTCAAAGTTAGTCAAAGCTCCGTATAGTCAAAGACTACTGGTTTTTCCAGTAGTCATGTATGGGTATAAGAGTTGGACCATAAAGAAGGCTGATCTCCAAAGAATTGATGCTTTTGAACTGTGGTGTTGGAGAAGAATCTTGAGAGTCCCTTGGACAGCAAGGAGATCAAACCAGTCAATCCTAAAGGAAATCACCCCTGAATATTTATTGGAAGGACTGATGCTGAAGCTAAAGCTCCAATGCTCAGCCACCTGATGGGAAGAGCTGACTCACTGGGAAAAAACCCTGATTCTGGGTAAGATTGAGGGTGGAAAGAGAAGAGGGCAACAGAGAATGAGATAGTTGGATTGTGTCTTCAGCTTAATGGACATGAGTTTGAGGAAACTCAGGGAGATAGTGAAGAACAGGGAAGCCTGGTATACTGCAGTCCATGGTGTCGCAAAGAGTTGGACACACCTGAGCAACTGAACAACAACAATCAGGGGTCTAAATCTAGGCCCAGAGGAGAAGAAAAGGTTCTAGTGGCAAGAATTCCCAGATCCTCACAGGAGCATGCAGCAAATCCCCTTCTCCAGGTGTTTTCAACCAAATTCCTTATGGATATTAAGCTTTGGGATTCGGTAAAGAGAAATATTCCGATAATTGTGTATGGATGTGAGAGTTGGACCATAAAGAAAGCTGAGTGCCAAAGAGTTGATGCTTTTGAACTGTGTTGTTGGAGAAGATTCTTGAGAGTCCCTTGGACTGCAAGGAGATCAAACCAGTCAATCTTAAAGGAAATCAGTCCTGAATACTCATTGGAAGGACTGATGCTGAAGCTGAAACTCCAATATTTTGGCCACCTGATGCGAAGAACTGACTCATTGGAAAAGACCCTGATACTCAGAAAGATTAAAGACAGGAGAAGGGGATGACAGAGGATGAGATGGTTGGATGGCATCACCGACTCAATAGACATGAGTTTGAGTAAACTCCAGGAGTTGTTGATGGACAGGGAAGCCTGGCATGCTGCAGTCCATGGGGTTGCAAAGAGTCAGACATGACTGAGCAACTGAACTGAACTGAATGAGAAATAGGAATTTCCCCCTTGTTCCCCAAATTATT